CGATTAACGTCAAATGGCAAATCCATGTCTAGAATTAGTAATTGTGTGGAAACGTTGAAGGTAATGCCATCATCCGCGGCTTTTTCGAAGACATTGTAGCTGAAAAGAATTATAAATGTCGAATAAAAAATTATAGATGTCGAATAAAGAATCACTGTCATGTTAGTGAAGCGCTGCGACAGTTTGACATTGGTCGTTGTCGTGAACATGCTGAAATTCGTCCTGGAACACTTTTCCCAATCAATCGTCATCATCATTAATATCTTGTTGAACGTTCTACGAACGGTTATCATTGGTCATAGTCGTGATAACGAGCGCAATGAAGCATTACGAACCATCGGTGAAAAATTTTATGTTGTACATTGACTTATAACTCTTGCGAGTCCGATCATTTTCTCTTTGTGTTTGATATTTAATTTATTACAGCAATTCGTCCTGGTTTAGCTTTGTTACATTATTCACGTTTTCATTTGCCAAATAATTTAATTTATCGACTAAAGCAATTGCCAAATGGTTTGATGTATCGACTATAACGTAATTGTTAAATCAAGATGTTATATGTAAATGTATGTAACAAACTTAATGTGGTTAAATATTATAATTAATATAAAAAATATATATAACTATAAAAAAATTAAATGATATTTAAAACAAATTTTTCACTGATAGTATCACTACGTGCCGTTGTGTATCTCACCGCTGCTTATACCAAAAAATTATAAGTTTAATTAAAAATATCGTATACGCCATTGTTGAACCTATAATTCTCATCATCTCGGAAAACTCGATCAAATAAAAGTGCTTTACGATATATCGATATTGAAGAGCTTGCTCGATTACGAGTGTGAAGATCCAGAACATTCGACGTAATAAAACGCACGATATATTCGGCCAGATGCCAAAAATTCGTAGACAAATTTCTATCACTTTGCTAACTGTATTCTGTACTTTCATATTTCTGTTAGTACCTATAATTATGTTATTATTTTGCACCGTCAACATGCGTTGATACCGATAAGAAAATTTTAAAAACAGAAAACACTTGATCGACCGTATGATGTGCACAATGCGATGTCTCCGTACAAACTGAATGCTCGAAAGGAAGCAAGAGTGGGGCTCACCCTCCCACGAACGACGGCTTATTAAATATTTTGATCGCAACGTTCATAGAGTGCGTGTGCAATTGTCGATAAAAAAAAAAGAAAAAGAAAATTTCCGGGTGACCGACCTCTCCCTCTCGAATTCTCGGACAAAACGAGTGGCGTGGCGCTCAGTACATTATTATCTTTAAAAATTCAAGCAACATCAGATATCAACATGTGAATATACATAGGGCATTGAACCGTGTTCGACGACCGTAAGAAAAGTTTTGTATTTGCGTGCGTAGGGGAAAATATTTTAAGGAAGAGGGAAGATGGAAAAGTCGAAAGGTTCTTGATCCGAGATTTTGTTCTCTTATAATATCAAAAGATATTCTTTCTCGCTCACTACGTAAGTGTAGCGAGTGTGCACGCGATCGCAACTTATTCCCCTAAAATATATAAATCGCACGATTATGTATGAAACTTTGTTGCTCGTCAGATACAGATACGCGTAATAATCGTCAAAAAATAAGCTAGAAGCAAAAGGCAGAGAAACGTAGTGAACTCAGCGACACTATATTTTTATCGCTATAATAATTTTATATTCTAGTACCAAAAATGTTTCTCACACAAACGATAAGCATAATATGAACTCCAAAAAACATTACAAAATGCAAAGAGCTTAATCTTTCGAGAAGGACTGTTTTTTAGGCATCATAATATTGTATAAACATTAAGAAAATTTCTAATCCAATATCTAATTATCCAAGAAGAGCATTTATGTTAATATACTTTCAATGTTTTATTTTACACATATATAGAAGCAAAAGTAATTAATTAAATTATTAGAAATAAATTCTATTATGTAAACATTTAAAATAACAATAATAATATTTTTGATATTGTTATTACTGAGATACTTTTATAATTTATTTAATAATTATATACTATTACCTCATGCTACTGCCATACGCTATCACGATATTATCATTATATCATCATGATGGTTTAGAGATTTAGCTTAATATTCAGTTCATCGCTAATAGGACAGAAATATATGATGCTGATGCCTTCACGATCTACAATATTGATCGATAATGTCGTATTATAAATTATATTAAATATTTATAATCAGTTAAACAAGACGAATTTATGATTTTTCTTTCGAATGTATCTTTAATTATTCTGTAAAAAAACATATCTGTTCTAATATTAATTAAGAGAATTTTCAGATATTATTTTTACATGTAGTATTTGTTAAAAATCTCGAAAATATTATATATGTCACAAAAATCTTACGCTAATAAACCGTTCTAAAGAGAGATCCATAATTTTTCCGATTGTGATGGTTAATCGGTTTTGCGATCTTAGAACGATAAATAATACAATTCGGCTCTTTTCAGTGGTGACATCGTACCAGAGAGAATTATAAACCGCATCTCCGATCATTTTACTCTACAAGGAAAAGATGGATTTTGGATTTTCGTGTATAAGCGAAATCATCAGTGCCGCAGGATTGTCGGCGCTAACCTTTGCATTCAAGTATTCACCAACGAAACAGTGTATAAATGCTTCGAGGTTCATCACAATGTAAAATATAATGCGGATCTCACTAAGAATGCCGGTCCGTCAGGTGTACCGATTGACTGTAATAACACCGAACGTGGTAAGTTAGAAGCAATCTGTCCTTTTCTATGTGTATTATCGAAAACTATATATGTACGTAAATAATTGAAATATTCCGATATTCACAATTATTTCAAATTATCAACGGTTGTTGATAAAATTTAAAATCCATAAAATAACGCTTTCTGCCGACATTACTCACAGTGACAATTATGAATCCTAGACAGCATATAATGAGAGTATCCGACACGAATAGCGTCAACGCGATGTATGTATAAAGATTCTCGATGTTCTCCGAAAACATGATAATTTGTTGGTGCTTTGATATCAACTGTCTTATTGTTATCCCGTTCACAGTGTGCATCAAATTTTTGGAGATAGCGTCCAATAGCCAGGCGTGAAGGATATCGATTTGACCAATGATGTGCAGTATCTAGGATTCACGTCTTAAATGATAAAGCCGCTGATCGTGTAATTCTGCGTCGTCAAGTGACATCGCAAATAACTTACCAGAGTGACAATGAGCGAATTTATCATGGAAATTCCACACATCGCCAGATGAAGAAACTCGAGGATCGTAACAAGCACATAAATGGGAGACGTGTCAACCTCGAATGGCAGCTTTATCTTCAAGATGTGATCCCGCGCGGACACGTTCATCCTTTGAACATCACCAGTGTTTACAGCAAGCACGCCGCAGCTATACAGAACTATGGCAGTCAGTTGAAGACCGATAATCCAGTTTGAAAAGCGATGGGAGAGTTTAGCGCTGTTGATCGTGTAGACTGCAGTCAGTCAAAACGCGGTTCTTTCAGTCTCTGGCCATCATTTCCAATATGTCGAAAAACGTTCTAAAAGGAATTAAATATGTCAATAGTGCATATAATATTATTATCTATTTCTTTCAATTAAATAATTATTATAACAAATTGAACTCTAATAACAAATTAAATATAAAAATAACAAAATAGTACTAGCTATTACTTGTGTGCCAAGTCACATGTTTGTTACGCACAAAATGAAGCATTTAAAATAAAGTCTATATCCACATATGTTATCACTGCATATGTAATCCTGTAATATTTCTAATCACTCATAAAAATATAATATTTCATTTTATAAGCTACAAGTCATAATACAAAATATTACGTATATGTCTTACCGTTGATTTACTCATAAAATACTGAATTTGATTGACTGAACTGACGACTGAAATAAAACGGTTGACGGTAAGTACGGCCAGATTCCGCAGACGCGAAGACCGATCTTCACCACGCGACTGAGCATGCTCATCTCCATGTTTTCCGAAAGAAAATAGATTGCGGATTGCTCAAGGTGTACGTATGCTACCAAACAATTTTGCACGCTGAAACATCCAGGGTATTCAAGAAAAACTTAGCCCCGTGTGATGGCCCCGTCCACCAATCAAACAACCTTTTGTTAGGCCAGTCAAATTAGACATTTTGCTATGAAAGTGATGCGAACTTTTTTATTCTTTTTTAGGCGTCTTGGGGGTGTTTAGAAAAGCTTATGTTTGAGTTGTCGTATCATGAGACCCAGAGTTTTTTGAGGGGGAAGGGGGAACTAATTTTTGACAAATCGGAACGAGTCACCGCTCATTTTCTTCGTTTTTTCAAGTCCTACAACTTTCTCAGGAGCGAAAAAGTGCTATCTATTAATCGAAACGAGATAAATGCAAAAAACCGAGCAAATTTTATTTTTTGGGGAAACCAAAATTTTTGTTTTTTCGCAATAACTCGGCGAATGTTGATAAAAAATGAATGAGGGGTTAGTCATTCATTTTTTATCAACATTCGCCGTTATTGCGAAAAAACAAAAATTTTGGTTTCCCCGAAATATAAAATTTTCGCGGTTTCTTGCATTTATCTCGTTTCGATTAATAGATAGCACTTTTTCGCTCCTGAGAAAGTTGTAGGGCTTAAAAAAACGAAAAAAATGAGCGGTGACTCGTTTCAATTCGTCAAAAATTGGTTCTCCCTCTCCCTCCTCAAAAAGCTCTGGGTCTCATGATACGACAACTCAAAAATAAGCTTTTCTAAACACCCCCAACACGCCTAAAAAGGAATAAAAAAGTTTGCATCACTTTCGAGCAAAAGCCTTTTTTTTGTCTAATTTGTGACTGGCCTATGTCATGTATCGCAAACTTTGACAGACTTTGGACCACGTGCGACGATCTCATCGATAATCGCAGGTGGTACGTAAAAAAAAAATGAGGGGGGTACCGTTTCTCCCTCCGCGAAGTCAAGTTTCCGACCACGGACAATATGACCTCGAGCTTTCTTTAAAATATAACAACCTCGGGGGTGCAGCTTTCACGACCCGCACAACGCGCAGGTGAAGTTTCGCTATTGGGGGCGCGTCGACAAAGAGAAGAGGACGAGCGAAAATATCGCTGGGGATATGTTTCTCCGGAACGGACTTCGCGCTGAGCTTATATATTATAGCTCGTGTTACAAAAGTAGTCGCAAATTGAAAGAAACGTGACGGAGACGGCAGTACATACCAAAATGCCCAGCGAAGAAGCACAGAATTTATTAATTTTGAGTGATTATTTTGTTTCATTGTCACATGAATTTTGTAAAACATTGTCTTATGTCTACTATAATACTTATTTTGTGTTGTATCATCAAGCTCAAACGTCGTTCTGGTAAAATAATGGGCATAAATTCAAGATTATACAGTAAAAAAGAAAAAATACTGTTTTATGAACCGCGATTGAAGATGCGGATCGAAAGTGTCAAAAAAAGCAAACTGCGAAAGTTTGTTTTACAGTACTGCATGCCCTTGCACCGTAAATGAACAAACTGAAAGCACTAGGAAAAAAGGATTCGAGTGGATTTTGTTTTATCAATAGTATCATGAAATATATCCAAAACAAAAAAGGTTTTTGTCGTGTTTTTTTTATTTCGCATTAACGACTATAATATCTCTTTTCTTGTGCGAGAGGAGATGCAAATAATAAAATAGTTCAAACTACTCGCAACTTGTGAGAGATGAAGAAGTAGTAATATTTACCCTATTTTCTATTCACTATTGTTTCATGTTATTGTTACAACTATCAATACATCACTCGTCTTCAGTACATCGCCAAAAGTACAGATATATACGACAACGATGCCTTTACTACCTGAAATATTATTATTTGTGATCTATAATCCATATCATATAAGGATGGAATATTCAGAAATTATAAATAATACAATAATATAAAAAGAAATTTAATTAAATAACAAATAATAACAAACGGAGTTTATATAAAGCTATTTGTAATTTGATGTAATGTAAACATTGCCATGTTAATTTTTGCAACTCAAGTTATTTCGATAATTAATAGTGAATTTTGTTAATAATTAAAAGGTAAGAATAATGAATTTCGTTTCAATCTGTATATTGTTACTGTAAAAAAATAAAAAAATTTTGTTTTAACATTAATTAAAATTTTTAAGAAATAATTATCATGATAAAGATTGTTAAAAATATTCGAGTTTCACGTTACAAGGCAAACAAATGTAAGTAAAATCTTACGCTCGTAAATCTCTCCAAAGAAAGATCGAGGATTTTTCCGCTTGTGATCGTCAATCTTTTCTGCGATCTGATAATGAGGAACAATATAGTTCGACTTTCTTTGGCTGAAAAATCGTACCAGAGAGAATCGTACGCCGCATTTCCAATCATTTTACTCTGAAAAGAAAAAAATACAAGATCGAGATATCTGCAAATTAATAAAGCTGCCATTTTTCTCTTGGCGCTGACCTTGGCGCTCAGATGTTCACCGCAAAAACAGTATATGAATGCCTCGGCGTTCATCGAGAAGTAGTATAACAATGACTTTACCAAAATTGGTGCGGCATTAGGTGAGTTGAGCGACTGAAATTTCCATGTACGCAAACAGTAATTTAGTATGAGTTAATTACACATACACGATACTTCCACAGATATCTTTAGTGTCAATAATTATTAGCAGTCCTTTAATCCGGTACGCAATATTTATATTTATAAGTAACCAAACGTCACTTTGGACTTGTTACTTACGGTAACAATAATAAATCCTAAACAGCATATGATGAGCGTGTCTGATAAAAGCATCATAAATGCGATGTACGTGAAAAGAGTCTCAATATTTTCCGCAAATATAATAATACGCTGGTGCTTAATAATCAACGATCGCAACGTAATTTCGTCCATCGAATCCGCTGAACATTTGGAGATTTTTGTCAACGATTCTCGTAGAATGTCGATTTGACCACAGACGTGAATTATCTAAGGTTTATAGCTTCATGATCTTTCTCTCTCAGTAAAATAAAGATTATGTCTTGGGTCATTTTTTAAAATATCGAAAAAATATATAAAAAATAGTTTAGCAATTAATTTACATAACATATAAAATATTACAAATGTATATACGTAATATATTCAATTTAAATTATAGACAATCTTATATCAGATATGAGATAAAATTGAAAAAAATAAAGTAAATGAAATTCGTCTCATTTTAACTTTGAGAAAGCATAACACGCAATATTTAAGCTTACCAGAGTGACGAGAAGTGAATTGATAGTCGTAATACCGCAAGCGACTATAAAAAGCAGATAATAAAATTGAACGGATTGAACTGTCGTGTAAATGAAATTTGTGCTAATGTTGAATGGCAGCTCCATCTTCAGAATGAGATCTCGCGCGTACGGTTCTAATGTCTCGGGACTGTTTGCGTTACCAGCCAGTACACCGAGACTGTAAAAAGTTACGGAGCCAACATACATGCCGACGATCCACTTCGAGGCACGACGTGCAAGATTTGCCCCGTCTATCATTACGCGCGAGCTACAGCGGCTCGAAATGCAATCTTTCCAATCCGCAGACATCATTTGCACTAAATCGTAAAATATTCTACGGAAAATCAAGTGCACCATTCACATTAATGTTTCTTTTCACACTCGTCTATCATAAATTAGATTAATTCTGAATATGACGCTAACATTTTATTAAAGTATTAAAGTATTAGAAATAACAGGCAACTCACAATATACAGTCATGCGTGTACCCTCAGTTCTCATAATCAAACTGATTGAATAAAATCGAGGATCGATCAATTATTATTCGATACTTTTCTGATCGGTTTGGTAGTTTTGACAAGTGCTAATAATGAGACGAGTAACATGATGTGCATATTATTTCGCCTTAATATAATAATTTACATTACCGTTGATAGAACCAAAGGATAACGAGCTTAATGTAGAGTAAAGAAGACGTCATTGCGCAGCTAACACCATCCATATACTCGGAGAAGTCGTCCACATGAAAGTTCATCACTACGTATCGATATTGAAAGACTTGAGCCGTGCTCAACGCTATGATCCAGTATAATCTGAACATCACAGTCGACGGTAAATACGGCCATATACCGCAAACATAAAGGCCGAACCTGACCAGACGGCTGAACGTGGTCCTCCTCATATTTCCCTTCAGCGGCGACGAGAAACGCCTCGCCGACCAATCGCGGTCGTCGAATAAC